GTGTGTGTGTGTGTGTATGTATGTATGTATGTATGTATGTACATATGTTATGTATATGTATATGTTTCTTGATCCAACGTACCTTCCATACAGGTTTCGGGACCTCGTTCGCTGCAGCCGTCACAGTGGGGTATGCTGTGCCCCGCAGACACGCCCGAAGGAGCGCAGTGCGGTCTGCAGAAGAACTTAGCACTCATGACTCACATCACTACGGACGACGAAGCAGAGCCCATTCTCAGGCTGATCATGAACCTGGGTGTGGAAGACGTGAACCTCATGTCAGGAGAGGAGCTGTGCGCCCCCAATATGTACATTGTGTTCTTGAACGGTGTGATTGCAGGATGCACCAGAGACCACCAGCGGCTGGTGCGGGACGTCCGGGCTATGAGACGGGCGGGGCATGTCAGTGAGTTTGTGAGTATCTATCCCTCGCATATGCAGAGCTCCATCAACATCTCCAGTGACGGGGGTCGTGTGTGCAGGCCATATATCATTGTGGAGAAGGGACAGCCCATGGTCACAGAGGGCCACATCCGCGAACTGAACCAGGGACTCAGGAGCTTCAATGACTTCTTGAGTGATGGCCTGGTGGAGTATCTGGATGTGAACGAGGAGAACGACAGTCTGATTGCGCTGAATGAGAGCTACGTCAATCCGAAGACGACGCATATGGAGATCGAGCCGTTTACCATTCTGGGCATCTGTGTGGGCCTTGTACCGTACCCCCACCACAATCAGTCCCCGCGCAATACGTACCAATGTGCTATGGGCAAGCAAGCAATGGGCATCATAGCACACAACCAATTGAATCGGTTCGATACCCTACTCTATCTGCTGGTATACCCTATGCGGCCGCTGGTGCAAACCAAAACTCTGGAGCTGTCGGGTTACACACAATTGCCGGCTGGTCAGAACGCGGTGATTGCTGTCATGTCATACTCTGGCTACGATATCGAAGATGCGCTGATTCTCAACAAAGCCGGAATTGAACGAGGGTAAGTGGGTACTATAAGGGGAGACTGCCGGGGTGACGTAGCACAGGTGTTATTCCTATGGTACAAGACTGTGCCCTTGCTGTGTGATTGTATGTCCAATGCCTCTGATCTAGTAGGCAATGTTCAACGAATTTACTTAACTATTGCGCTTGGCTTACCACTCGACTGCTCCCTCTTCCAGATACGGCCGGTGCATGCTGTACCGAAAGTACGCGACAACGCTGCGGAAGTATCCCAATGGTCTCGATGATCGAATCAAGCCCGCACCTCGGAGCCTGGAAACTGGGGAAGTGCCCCCACAGTTTGCATCCTTAGAGGAGGATGGCATCGCAGCTGTGGGTTCCAGGCTGAAGTATGACGATATATATATAAACAAGGAGACGCCCACCATCACTACCAACGCGGCTATGCCGAGACCCGGGGGAGGCGCGGGCCAGCCCGAGGTGGAATACTATAAACAGCCGTCCAAGTACAAGCAGAAATACGATGCGTTCGTCGATAAAGTATGTTCTGTGTAGCTATGCTGTCGTATCAGCGGCCGTCATGCGATGGTTCTGTCGACCAAATATGAGAGGTGTGACTTGTGGGTGGGGTGTCCCTATGCGATTGTTCGTTTTTAACTGTGGCACCCGTCTCAAAGTACCATGTCACTCAGATACTCAGTACAACAATATGTTACTCAGATTCCCAGTACAATACTACGTCACTCGGATTCCCAGTACAATACTACGTCACTCGGATTCCCAGTACAATACTACGTCACTCGGATTCCCAGTACAGTACTACGTCACTCAGATTCCCAGTACTATCACCTCCATGCCTGTCCTGATATGATCCATTGGGTGTGTTGCATCATCTACAGGTTATGCTGACCACCAATACAGACGGACATCTCCTCACCAAACTCCTGCTGCGCACCACTCGTGTTCCGGAATTGGGCGACAAGTTCAGTTCGCGGCATGGGCAGAAAGGTGTCACAGGTCTGATTGTCAGCCAAGAGGACATGCCCTTCACGGACCAAGGTATCTGTCCTGATATGATTATGAACCCGCATGGTTTCCCGTCACGTATGACGGTGGGCAAACTGATGGAGCTGCTGGGCAGCAAGGCGGGTGTCATGGTTGGGAAGATGCACTACGGTACGGCGTTTGGGGGTGAGAAGGTGGAGGACATGTGTCGTATTTTGGTACGACATGGATACAACTACACGGGCAAGGATTTCATTACGTCGGGCATTAGTGGTGAGCCGCTGTCGGCTTATATTTTCTTCGGTCCGGTTTATTATCAAAAGGTAAGTCTGTTGTGCATTTCGGATGTTCTGAATCTGCAGTCGCTCGCCAGGTATAGGATCGGTGACTACTAAGTGAACCGGTTTAGAGTTTAAGGTTTAGGGACCAACCGACGCTTGCCTATACATGCCCACATTCTTACAATGTATTAGACCGTTCGTTTACCTTGTTCATGCACGCTGCTCATCCCCTCATTGTAGCTGAAGCATATGGTACAAGACAAGATGCACGCGCGAGCCACCGGTCCTCGTACCATCTTGACGCGTCAGCCGACTGAAGGTCGTGCCAACGACGGTGGTCAACGTTTCGGAGAGATGGAAAGGTAACTTCGTATTCTTCGACAAGAAGTACATCTTGGTGTCTTAGGTTTTAGGGTTTCTCGATTGCCTCTCCAGTATACTACGTTGCTGTTCATTGCTTTCCTCCGTGGGCCGTCTCTGCCTGTTCTTAGGACCAGTCCACTCGTGGCTGCATTATCTCATCGTGAACGTTGTTTTTACGTACCCCTCAGAGATTGTCTCATCGCCTATGGAACGTCTGGGTTGCTACTCGAGCGCTTGTGCATCAGTAGTGACCAATACTCTACCACCGTGTGCAATAAATGTGGCTTGCTGTGCGATCCCAAGTGGTGCCAGTATTGCAAGACCTCCGCGGAAGTGAGCTCGCTGAAGGTATGTATAGTGTTGCGTAGCTTGTCGTCTCAGCAGATATATATATATATATAATCCATTCATAATACAATACACATATACATACATAATACATGTATATATACATATAATATGTCAGTATCGGATATCGCGCAGCAGCCCCAAGGATTACCTTTCTAGCCTGCTCGTTTTAGGTTCTTCTATCTCTGCTACCCATGCCTCCTGCACCATTCACATCCGTAGAGTAGCCGGGTTACAATTTTTCTACGGCGCATGTCTCTTCCTCGTATGTACCTGTACCTGTCTTAGCCACTAGACACTGAAATGTACTTGGTCAGTGTATCTGTTCTGAATACTGCTAGTGCTTTGTCCTACGCATCTGCACTATCATCGTTCCTAAAGTCACGATTGTTGTCTCAATTCACAAACTCATTTACAATGCCACCGTCTCTTATTCCTATTCTTCTGCACCACGCCAGCTGCCCTATGCGTGCAAGCTGCTCTTCCAGGAACTGACGTCCATGAATATTGCACCAAGAATAACGCTGGACAGCGCATTCTAAAGCGAGAGATTCTCGACAGGAGCGTTCAGGTTGCAGTGAGAGCCTCGTCGCCCGACGGTTACTCAAGTGAACGCTTTGCCAAATAAGTCACGATATGCCCGACTTCCTAGAACGACATCACAGCCTGGAACGACTCGAACCGTTTTGACAATAAACGTTTCAAGTCTTCCGCAAGTCACACCTTAAATCTGTACAGTGTTCAGCCTTGTGTTTATTGCTCTCACATGTCACGAGGAAAAAGGTTTTCTGACCACTAAAATGCATTTAAAAGGTCTTTAAGTGGAGGCCAAGCTTTAACCTTATGTCTCATGCGATCAATATTATTGCCTTTGATCCCACCAATAAGCCATTTCATAATTGTTATAATTTTATACCACTGGTTACAATGCTTTGCCCAGTGACGCAAGGCTGGACTACACGCTACTCAACCAACCGTCATAGGATTCATCCGATTGGCGGAAGGACTTTATGGTATTTAGTTGAGCAGCGAGTTGAATGCAAAGTTACCAACTGGGTGCAATTAGATTTCAGTACATCGCCCTCATTGTATCATCAAAACAGCCCAAGTAAATGCACGAATAGGTTAATCCAAGTGAATGCACGAATAGTTTGACCCAAGTAAAAGCACGAAAATGCACATCCCAAGAAAATGCACGAATAGCTTAACCCAAGAAAATGCACGAATAGCTTCACCCAAGT